TGCCAGGTCATCCTACTGTATTAGCTACAGGTTATAGGCACTACAAATACACACACAAAAAATTGCATACTTCATTCAACTAGACATGCCCTAACTAACTGAAATATAAATTTATTTAAAATGTTTTACAGTCATTTAAAAATTATATCAGAAAAACATCAGGAAATAATAAATACTTGGGACTCATTTTCTCTGCTCTTCAGTCCAGTTAGTTGAATCAACCCTAAATAAACAATCCAGTAACTAAAAATTAAACACTTCAACTAAATACCAAAGGACAAAAAAAAAGAAAAAAATCACATGGAAGTGGGGAAGTTATTTTGAAATGTACCTTTTCATTTGAGAAATGTAATCACTCAAAACTATAAACTGAATAAAGAAAGTTTCTTTTGTCAACCCCTTAACTAACTCGGAATTCACTTTTTTTATTTGTAGGATTAAATTTGGCTTTTATTTCATTCGAATAAGGAGGCACAAGCACTTTTTTGTTACATGTATGAATTGTATAGTGGTGAAGTCAGGGCTTTCAACATACTCATCACCCAAATCATGCACCTTGTCCCTAATAGGTAGTTTTTGATCCCTCACCCCACCCCACCCCTTCTGAGTCTCCAAAGTCCATCATATCGCTCTGTATCATGCATACCTATCGCATAGCTCCTACTTAGAAGTGAGTACATGTGGTATTTGTTTTTCCGTTCCAGAGATAATTCACTTAGGATAACAGCCTCCAGTTCCATCCAAGTTGCCTTCTCTCCTTTCATACAACACCCAAATTCATTATTTCATGACTCATCTGAGAATCAGTGGCTCATACCAAACTGTTTCCTACATTATTACCTCTGCATATGAAATGCCTTAACTCTGAAAAAATTCACTCACCCAACTAACTACACATCTCTCAATCACCATCCCTCCACTCCCCTTCCTGGAACTTTCCAGGACCTCCCCCATCTATCCACTTCCTCTACCCATCCAGGGTTCTTTGTTCTGGCATGGTGTTTCCACAGGACACAACATAAAAAAACCAAATGTTAAATGATTTTAAAAACTGGTTTCTCACCCTACTTCCCTGGTCCTTCATGTTACTACTCTGCTTAAAACCTGTTAGTGTTTTCCACAGCCAAGAGGGCAGTGTTTTTCAAATTACCACTTGCCAATAAATATAGTGGTTCCCCACCAACAACCACTTTCTTAAAAATAAAATGGACTACAATAGTATAAAAACTACCAGAGTGTATCGCATAAAGGTATTATTTTGTGACATTTTAACATTTGTATATGAGCATATTAGGCTGCAATATGTACATATAAAAATGTGTATCTTTCCAATGGGCCACAGCCATAAAAGCTTGAAATACAACAGCCTAATATAACAGGATAAACCAAAGTCTTTCATTTGATCTACTAGGCTCTCTAACCTGGCTCCTGTGTGGGGCTCTAGACCTCTTGCTACATCAAAAGGACCTCAAGCAAAGAAAGTTCCTCATGCCAAACTTTTTTGTAGTTCCTGCCTTAGTGCTATCAACCACTGTTCCCTCTGCCTTGAATGCCCTTTCATTTATCTAGGAGACCTGTCCTCATCTTTCAGCATTTAATGCTTTCCACCTCTGCCACAAGGCCTTTTTCTTCCCTCAGTAGCTAATGCTACTCTCTCTCTGTGCCTCTATAATGTCCTATAGTTCCTTCAACATTTCACTGTACATTTTAATTTTAGGCTTGAATGTCTTCCTAACTTCTAACTCAAGGGAAGGAGCCTGTTTTTTACTAGTCTCTCTTTCAGCAGGACTAAGCTCTTAAACCTTAATAAGGGATCAAATGTAGCAAAATGAACGAAGTATTAAGAACTTCCACCTAACTTGTCTGTTAGGAATGACAAGGTGGTTACCATTGCAACAAAGCCCATTCATGTTGTGGTGCTGGATCAAGATTTCCGCATTTTTGCTACAACCCCCAGAGAGAAGAATCCTGTAGCCTAAGGTAGAAAGAGGTGCCAGCTTCTTGTCTTTCAGTAAAGGGACTCAGTTAAGGTTGCAATGTTGCAGCACTCACTTCTATGCTTCAGGAAGTTATCTAGGGAAAGGGGGAGAGGAAGGACTCCAGAGGTTCCCACAGGCAGATGAGATAAGTCAGAAACAGGATTATCAGACTCCATTAGCAGGGGATCCCTATTTTATATATGATTAACTGCTTTTTAAAATTTTTTTAATTTTGTTTTTTTGAGACATAGTCTCACGTCGCCCTCAGTAGAGTGCTGTGGCATCACAGCTCATAGCAACCTCAAACTATAATTAGCTCTTAATGGAGAAAGGGAGAGAAAGAATTCTCTTCCCTTGCTGATGGCTCTAGGTTGCCAACGTAAGCTCAGTAAAACAAAAGACAGCACAAGATAACTGGATGAAGTTACTTGATTTCTGTTGCCTACTCTAAGAGTTCTGAAAATAGCTACTGACTCATTGCTGTCATTATGAGATACTACTTGGGATTCAGGGGTCATACCTAACAGGGGCTCCTCACTGAACCTTTGAAGCTTGTCACAGAACTTCATCTTACATACATGAATGCCTTAATTTTTAAGGGATCTGATACACCTGTTTTATAAACTCATGGTTTAGGTGCAATCAAAAACAGTTCAAGCAACATCCAAGAAACTTTGACAGACTCTGCCAAATGTCACTTTCAGCTGTTCTTTTCTGTTTCCACATAATTCATAACTATTACAGGAGTCATAAATTTTTTCCTGCCCAAACTAACCACTGATTTTATTTAAAATAATTCCTTTGCTTAGACTTTGCCCCTAGACTTGCAATTATATCCACAACTAAGGCAAAGATAAATCCTTGTTATAACCTAACAGTTTTATTTGTAAATATATTTTTGTAAATATGTAAAACTCTTCACTCCCTATTAAATTTTAGATACTGGTCAGAATAAGGTATAGCCTGGGTAAAACTTTAAAGCCATTTTAAGCTGTTTCCTTTTATTTTAAATATGTCCAGACACTTACGCTAATTCCATGAACGTTCATTAGGTATGAAAACTCCAGCATGTGCCTTTACCGTATATTCTTGTACTTCTCTTCCTATCAACAACTCCGAGAAGCCACTATCAATCAAAAAGGGTCAGAGGTCCAAATATGGGTTTTTAGAAAATTAGCACCACAAATGTTTGCTCCTTTCCCTCTAGGGGAAAGAGTCCACACTTAAGGCTTTATTAACTAAAAGGCAAAGAAACTTGATTATAGACAAATTTAGTTACGCTAAGTGTCTAAATGTGTGTTACATGGGGAAGGGGGCTTATTTTCCTACTTTAAATACTAGTCCCCTTAGTATAAAGTTCATCCCAAACTTCCCTTGGTAAAAATGACAGTTCATGGACCTTAAAGATTGTGGAGAACTGAATTTCTTCCATGGTGCTACCACTACACACAATCTAGAGAGAAAACAGCCTTCAACAAGAAAAATGCCGTTTATTATTTGCTCCAATATATTTTAAACTGAGGAGCTACAGATGCTCAAAGGAAGCCATATTTCAAAGATTTTTAATAGTGGTATTTTTCAGTATTTTATCTAAAAATTGGTGCAATTCACTCAAAGCATTTTCCAAATGCCATTGTTTTCTAGCTTATGTGCTTAAAACTGCTTGGGGGGTGGGAGGAGTCTCCATCTGAAAGATCTACTTCAAGAAACCAACTAATGATCAATCAAATGGAGAGAAGAAGAAGAAGAAAAAAAACTTCATTTTACAAGTTGGAAAAATCGTTCAAAGTCATCTCATCTAATCTTCATTTTACAGATAAGAAAACAGTCCACTGAGGTTAAGTCATTTGCCTCAGAGCACTAAGCTACTAATAGCAGCACTAGAAATAGAATGAGGTATTTTAATTACTATTAGCAATACCCCAAATCATGCAAGTTATACTCTCATAACTTGTCACTTAAGGTTTAAAAACCATTATCACGTTCTCAATAATTTCCGAGGAAGGACTCCATGGTCTAAATTTTCAAAGTTACGCGAATTAATAAACTTCAAATTCTAACTCCAATTAAAAGGTACTTTTCTCTGAAAGTTTCAATAAGTGTGTGTACATCCCTAAACCATCACATGAATTTCAGAGTCCATTCTTTTAAATCCTGCCTCTCAACTACACTTTATATGTGTTTGTTCAGCATTAAAAAAAAGAAAATTCTGCAAGTTGCTCTTAGACAAAATGAGTAGATCATTACTCCATTAACACAGGTTTGCAGATTAAATGAGACAGTCACATTTTATCAATTTAATAAAAGGTTGGGAAATAGTGCTCTTGGTTTGCTTTGGGGCTGAAAGATGATGTAGATATGATATTGTAAACACTAACTGAAGGTCTGAGCTTAAATGAGAATTAGAATAACAAAAAAAGTGAAGAACAAGTTACTTCAACTAAAAGCTTTTTCCTACCCAGTGCACCGGCACTGTGGAGATGGCATCAGCTAAGATTTTCATTTTAATGCCCCCAATGAATCAATTCTATGTTTTAGCTTGAGATAGTCAAGGGCAAAACAGAGGGCACAGTGAGGGCAACATTTACACTGGATCACTTTCAAGGACAGTAGTCTAACCACTCATTACAATCGTTCCTTTGTGCAACTGATATTCTAAAAGTACAGAGGGAATGTAGTACTTCTCTTTGAAATATACTATCAGCAAAATCTAAGATAACATGATTCTGATCACAAACTGAAGCAGCAGTTTAACCAGTAAAGTGTAGAATGCGTTGTTTACAAATATTTTTCATTAAACTACGCTGAAGTTACAAACGACATACACACGTGTTCCTTAATTCTAACCTCTGCTGTCACGCTACAAAAATATGCCTTCTTAAAAGGGTTACCACGCCTATAGTTTTAAAGTGTAACCAGCTTAGCAAGCTGGCAAATTTGTTTGAAAACACACTCACCACCACCGTTCAATCACACACATACCTAAACAGATTCGAAGCTGTGTTAAGGAAAAATCCTTACCCCATTTTGCCCAATGAAAACTCGCTCTGAAGTTTCAGCTCTTATGCCACGGAATAACTTCCAAAGGAATTTCTCCGTCTGCTATTTCGCAGTTGCTTTTCAACCCCCCCAGATCCTCTTCCGGAGGTATTTCAATGATGCTGACAATTCAATTAGTTCTCTTGGATAAAATGATTTCTCTCTCGTATATACCAAAACGTTCAAAGAGAGGCGGCATTTGCTTAACAGAGCTAAAATGCCGTGCGGAGCAGATAGCAGTCCACTCTATTCCACACACAAAAAAGAGTCTTACATGTAGGAAAATGCAGAATCCAGCTTCACGGAGTCCTATAAAAAATGAGTTCGCTGGTCATTTCGCTCATGTCCTCCTTGACACTCAAGAGCGCAAGGTAACTCGGCCTTTTCGGTGCTAAGGCTGCGGGTTCAAATTTCTCCACCACACCAAGTCCCTGGGGGGTGGAGCGTGCAATTGAACGCAACGTGCACTTGAATAAAAATCCTAAAAGCAGCAATGCCACTGCTTCCCTACGCTCAAGTTAGAAAAAAAGTACATAGAAAAATCTCCTCGAAGTGCAAACCTGGCAGCTCGCGACGTGCACGAACTCCACATTGGAATCTTTTAAATTTCTCTCCTAAGACTCGGAGCGGAGAGGAGGTGGGGAGGAGGAAGGGAAGGCTGGGCAGGATCGATTCATTCTCCCGAGGAGAATAAACGGAGCCATTTCCAGGCTGGCAGCAGGCTGGGGGCGCAGCACACGCCGAGGAGCAGGGGGAGGGGGCCCCGATCCCACCTCCCTCAGCCCCTTCCCGCCTCCCGCTGCCGAGCACAATGGAGCCCGGCTCGTGCCCGGCCCTTCATTCGCGGCTGCCCCCTCTTCCCTCCTCTCTTCAGAGCACAGCGGGTCTGAGGCTCCCGTCGGCGGAGAATGAATGAATCACAGAGCCAAGCCCCACGCTTCCCCTGGCACCCTGCCCCCAGCTCCGGGGCGGGCCGAGCAGGCGGCGGAGGGGGCTGAGGGTCGACGGGCGGCCGCCCGAGCCGAGGCGGGAGGTTAGCCCCGCGTCGGGAGCAGGAGAGCCGGGCTCAAAGCTGTGGTTGAGCCGCCGCTCCAGCGCCCCCACCCCTGTCCCTCGTCTCTCACGCTCCGCGCCGCCGCCACGCGCCGCCTCACATTCCCCGGGCCCCGTCGCCGCCTCTTCACATTTCCATCACCGCCCGCCTCCGCCAGCCTCCGGCTGCAGCTGGGCAGAGCAGTGCCGGCCCGGGCGGCCTGAAGCCCGCCGCTGCCTCCACCTCCCCCGGCCGGCTCTGAGAGCAGAGGGCGCCGCTTCCCCGGTCAGCGCAGCCAGCGTGAGGCGAGCGCGGCAGCAGAGCAGGCTGCGGGGGGCGGGGAGGGGTGGGGAGAACGGGGCGGGGGGGACGAGAGCGGTCCCTCCCCCTGCTCGCCGGAGGGGCGGGAGGCGGCGGCCACAGCGGACCCGCGGCTGAGGGTTGGGGCGCGGGCCAGTCCCGACGGCCCCACGGGTCCTGCGGGCGGCGGGACAAGGCAGCAGCCGCGAGGCAGTGGGGAGGCTGGTGGTCTGGGGCCGAGCCGACCCTCGTGGGGAGTTAGGCCGGCTGGCAGGTCCGTCAGTCAGTCTTTCCTTCCTTCCCCCTCCCCTAGTGACCGGCAGCGGGCGGGCCGTGCGCTCTGCTCCTCGGCTGGCTCCTGGCCCCGCTCCCGGCCGCCACAGCCTCCTCCGCGCCCCACACCAGGTGCTCGCGCTGTGTCTCCATCCTCCCCGCAGGAGGACCTTTAAATAGCAACGTCAGCGCGCTCCTCTCCGCACACACGTCACCCGCCGCTCTCGTCACCGGGGTGCGGGGGATGATGTCACGCGGCCGGAAGTACTGCTAAATTAGGGAAGGAGCAGGGGGAGGAGGACTCGGCGAGCTCCTCTGTGCCCACCTGCTTTCACTTCTCCTGAAAGGCCAAAGCACAGGAGACAGCCAGAGAGGAGCTCGCAGAAGGAAGTGGCGGGAGGAGATTTCCTTGCAGCAAATGTACCAAACCCGAGTGAATCACTCATAGCAACAGTGCCGAAGTGTCAAGCGGGTAATATCCTATCTCCCACTCCCACCCCTGTTGCGGCAGCACCCCCGAACTTCTCATGTTCCAACTGGCAGGGAAATGTGTGAGGGAGAGCCTGATCACTAGTGGTAGATACACTTGCAACGAGACTTGGGAAAAATCACCTTAATTTTCAAAAAAGTTAATAAGTGCCATTCTGGAATAGTCGACTTTTAAACTTTTTTCCCTTAGTGGTTACCGAAATCGCAAAATAATAGGGAAGCCATGAACAAACGTTCCAGTGTATGGAAATTAAAAATAAGAAAGACCACCAAATCATTTTTCACTAACACAAGCACAGATTATTTTTGTCTTCTTTAATTTTGACCATCTGATATATAATTATAACATCTCAAGTGTGGTATTTTTCATTTTCTGTGTGGCAAGGGTGAGTAGCCATCAACAAGTTTAGTAGCTATGCATGTGTTTGTATCTATAAAAATCATATGAATTATTTTCAAATTGTGAGTTACTACAGAATTTTTAAATGTCCTCACTATTTCAAGATAGCTCATTATTAGGTAGATCCAAATAATGAACTTTGATTTTATTTGATTTAACTGGATAATCATGACCCAGAAATAGAATTACTACATACTGCCAAAGGCCAATGCTATTTCAAACTTAGCCTGTAAATTGAGTGACCACATTTTCCAAACCAAAATCCAGGCACACTATTTGACATCAGAGAAAATAGTTGAAATCTGAAGTGACCTGGAAAATCCAGGACATTGGATTACCAACATGGAAGCAATTGTTAGAGTAGTAAATCAATATCAATGCAGTTTAAAAGAAGCTAAGAATCTATAGACTGTGTAACGGGTGTTTTTAAAAAATGTTTTTCTAGAATTAAACTACTCTAGAACACTGGTTTTGCAGCTTTTTGCATTTACATTTTCTTGTTCAAGTTACCCTAAGATTAAAGAACTCCAGCAAAAATAGTTAATACCAATTTGCAACTGATTCAGGCCCTTCCGGTCATCTTCACATTGTAAAGTTATAATCTTGCTTAAAGCTATGATCTTGCTTAAAAGGTTTGTTTTTAAAGGCTATAACTGGTTAATGAAAAGTAAATCCCTGCTTGCCAATTTGTCCAATATATATTATTGACATAACAGAAACTTGTCCCAATTTATATTTCAGACAAATGGAACTTCTTATGTATATAATAAATAATATCCCTTGGTCCCTATGAATTATGTTATTACTCAATTAAAATTTCACTACAAATTATTTTTTTCTGAACTAAATAACTCTCTTTCTGCTCTTTCCCACCACATTAATTAAAGCTCTCCCTTCACCATTTTCAAACATTTCATGTTACCCTTTCATCACAGCTTCTTCTCATTTTCAATCTTTTCCCCCTCATCTTTACCCACCTGTCAAAACAGCTTGTCAGCTGCCTCCCTGCTCTTAAAATGCTGACCTCTCATTAGTTTCTACTTTTTACAGCTACACAGTGTCTTTTAAGCTGCTATGTTGTCGACTGAAAATTGAAAGCAACTTTTTTTCTCCATAAATCTAATGGTGCGCTGTGATATAATTACTCAAAGTTTAATGTGGTCATTTAACTTAAGCCTCTTAATCAGAAAATTCTGCCTATAATTGGTCAATTTTTCTTGCTAGTTTGTGTGAGATCAGGATCATGATCAGAAAGTATGTGTGTCCCCCTACCCAAAAGAATTTGTAAAACTTTGAAACATTTTATGTAATATGTAATGTAGTCTCAGAAAAAAAAAAATAGAGACTTTTCCGCCTTGAAATAATTCCAATATGGTTTTGAGAGGAGTCAGAAAACCATTGTATGGCTTTCCATCTACATGTATAAGTGAACTTTTTTTCTTCTAAAATGAACTGATGTAACCCAAATCCTAGCCAGAATCCCCAACCCTGATTTCTTTGTTATGTCTTTTCAAGTAGTAAGCTTCCTAGAAAGTAATGTATTTTCTTTTACCGGAAGAGGAAGAAAGTACTTTGGTAGAGTTTCAAGTTTTTAACAGTTCCTATTTCCCACTAAGCTCTGAAAATTTGTAGGGCAGCTTATGAATACCCTCTGATTTTAGAATCTGTGGGCGAAGGCATCTGTTTTAGTTACAGAGTTTACTTCCTTGCCCTTAATAGGAGATGGCAGTCTTCAATGGGGTGTTCATAGATTGGTCATGAGATATGTCTTTTTCAATGAAAAGACCTCTATGAGACAGAAAAACTGCAAGAAAGAGTTAAAGCCAGATTGTATTTTCAATTGCCTAACATTAGATAATAGCAACTTACTTTCAAGCTCCCTCTTTTTAACGATCAAAATACTAATACTACTTCAAATAAAATCCTGGATAGAAAAAAATATATAAAAAGATATCTCTCCAGATAAAGGAAATTGCATGAGTCCTCCTTTATGAATCATAATTAGGAAGAAAGTAACAAGCAGAGACAAAGTGTTTGACACCTTCAAGGCAGTGGCTTGAAGATAATTTGCAGACTGGTTTGGAAGAGGTGAAGGGAGGGAAGCTAAGGAATCATCCTTAGGAAAGCTGTGATATGTAGCCATGAGACATGATCTGATAGAACTATCTCCTGCTGTGATTTTTTCTGTAAATTCCTTGTTTTCCAAATATGGCCAAAGAGATACAAATATGATCCTAGACTAGTGAAAGAAGGTACCAAAAAGTTTTCAGTTGGGTGCTGTTGAGGGCCCAGGTAGAACAAAATTAGAGGACACTGTTTTACTACGCCCTATGTAAATTTTTTAAATATTCAGAAAAGATGGGTGCCTTTGAAAAAATTATCTGGCTTAACTTTAGGTTTTTGATTGGTTAGTTGTTTTAAAAAGCAATCATAGAGAACAAGTTGGAGAAAATATGCAGATCTGCAGAGAACTACAGTAAAAATGTGGAGTAAAGCATATGCTGTACCTGTGCGCTTACTTAGCATGGAATGCTGTGGAAGCTTATTGCCATGGTAACCAATAATCTTTTTCCTGAATGGGGGAACAGAACAACCAGGAGGAAAATGTTTTAAATGAGCTACCTTATTTTGTAATTCTTTGGTGCCAGCTAAGAGAAAAACAACACCCGGGGTATTTAGGACAGGCATGCTCGTGGAAGGAATTGCATTCTTTCCAAAGGGACAAATCTCTTTGAAAACAGGTAGAAATTCTGGACTATTTCAAAGAGAGATGGGGAATATAAGATGGCAATTTTGCAAACTCTCCAAAGCAGAACATACTGGGTAAAGTCTCTGACATGGCTAAATTGCCAGAAGCAATACCCAGAACCTGTATTAAAGGTTCTCCTAAGCAGAAGAGGTTAGAAATAAAGATTCTCAACATTGGGAGGTTTCAGGCAAAGAATTTCATGAATTATTTACAAGGCATTTTTTTTTCAAAAATTAGGGTTCTGTAGAGAAACAAAGCAAATAGGATAGAGAAGGAAACATAACTTTATAGGTAGATAGGTAAGTAGATAGGTGGGAGGAGATTTATCTTGGTACTTGGCTTATATGATTATGGAAACCAAGAAATCCTGCGTCTCCTGTCTACAAGCTAGAAAAATCAGGGAATCTGGTGGTTTAATTTAGTCTCACTCTAAAAGGTCTGAGAACCAGATGAGCCAGTGGTATAACTCAGGTCAAAGGCCTAAGAAGCTGGAGTTTCTGATGTCTCAGAGCAGGATAAAGGATATTCCAGCTCTACAATCAAGAGAATGCACCCTTTCTCTGCTTTTTTGTTCCATCCTGGCCCTCAATGGATTGAATGGTGCCCACCCACATTGGCAAGGATGGTCCTTTACTCAGGCCACTGGTTCAAATACCAGTCCCTTCTGGAAACACCTTCACAGACATACCTAAAAATAATGCTTTACCAGCTATTTGGTAGCAGCAAGTCAAGTTAATACCCAAAATTTAACCATCACAGTATCTTTAGTCAACATTTATTCTATTTTTTTAATCTCTTATTTATTT